AGCTGTTTTAAGTGCTGCAGTTCACACGGATCTCACAAGTCTCCAGTTTTTCATTTTTTCCCTTTTCTTTCCTTTTTTAATCTTCAGACTTCCAAGCAAATATTAAAGTTGAATTGTGCAAATGGAGATGGTCATAAGTGGTAGAACCATTAATGAAAAGTTGGCTATATGCTGTCTCAGTGCCTACTCAGGCGCCCCGACCTCTAAATTGCGACCTTTGCATGACTAATCCTCTCATTATGTTCATCCTCTCTCCTAATCCCTCCGTCCCTCGCTCTTGTCCGTCTGTCCAGGTATCTGCTGCCAGTGACCTCCCAGTTCATCATGAAGTGGCCTTCGTCCAGCTTTGGCAGCATCTCCTCAGCCGTGCCACGCTCCCGTAACCTTTTTGCCGCCAGGATGGGCCACTTCTGAGGTCACCGTGGCAACCCTGGCCTTTTGACCTCCCCTCTCCTCCCCAACCTCGCCTCCCTTGACTTTTTTAGCCAAGCACAGATCTTAGGTGTCCTGGTATAGATCTGAATTTGGTGCTGCTCTGGACCCCAGGATGGGGCCTCGTTTTGGCCCAGTCTCCTTGTGGAAGATCAACAAAGCAAGGCTGGATGATTTGGGATCGCTAAAGGGAGCTGCTCACTCTGCTCAGCAGACCACCATCACCCTCGGTCCCCTCCCTCTAGCCCCTCGAATGCCAGGCGATGGGCTCGTTTCTCATTGTAACTGCTGTATTATACTCACTGTACAGTTACAAGTCATGGTACTGTAAAAGAAAAGAATAACAAACACTAAAACAATGCAAGGATGATTTATTTATGTACTTATTTATTTTCTAAGGTTTTTCCATGACTGCAGTGAATGCTGATGCATAATGCACATGGACTAACAAAGCTGTCCATCATTTAAATTAAAAAAAAAGTGGATGTACAAATCTTATTTTTGCCGACTATAATCAGTTATTTTGTTTCCATTTTCTGAAATGTTGAAATGTTATTTATTTCGTAACTTATAAGAGAGGCTTTATGTTAACAACGGTCACTTTATGTTCTCGCTTTTGGAGGTTTTTTGCAGACGTGGTGCCCGGAGGACCTGAAAACAGGTCGCCTTTTGAATGCTAACGCTTCATGTTTTCCCTGTGTGATGTTATTAAGTGCGGCACTATTGAGCAACACCACGGTTAGAATGTCAGTGTAGTAAAGCCAAGCCTGTTTGCCTCTTTAGAGAATGAGACGACTTTAATGCCACAGCATCAAGAGCCAAACCTCTCAGAGAGCGCACACAGTTCCTAATATGCACTTTGCAGTTTGTAACAGAGAGAGAAAAGTGGCTGCACATTAGTAGTGCTTGCATGCCTAGACTTTAGTCCCTTTAGACTCTGATGTAGTGGTTAGACAAAGGAGCTGCGTTTGGAATATACTTGAAGTTCTGCGTTGACATTAATTATTCTCATCTTCTTTGTGTTTGGCTGCACTGAAAAGAAGACACTTCACTTTTATATTTGTCGTCTCGAGTTTGGATGCGTCAGGGATGACGAGGATCTGTTGCACGATTTAGAGATTGTTCGACACGCTGAATTACTTGGCTGATCAGTTCAAATGTATTGTACTGTAACAGCAGAGATTTGACTGGGATGAGCAGCTACAGCCCCCCCCCAACACCCACCACCGCACTGTAGTTAAGTGCTCGGGCTTCACAGATGTGCCAATAATACGCACGTCTGCATCATGTGTTGGTTGACTTTTATTTAAGGTTAATGTGTCATGAACTACTGTAGGCCTTCGGTTAAAT